GCGCCGCCGCCGCCCCCGCCGCCGCCGCCTCCGCCGCCTCCGCGGCCGCCGCCGAGGCCAACGCCAACTCCATCCTCAGCGTCCCCGTGCTCGCCAAGGCCGAGTCGTACGAGGACGAATACCCCTACGTCGACCTCACCGATATGGTCCACTTCTGCGAATCCCTCAGGGCCAACTCGGCCGCCTCCACCTCTCCCTGCTCGCAGTCCCCGACCATGAAAAGCTACCTGGAGAGCTGCCCGTGCCCGCAGACGCCCAACGGGGCGGCGTACGGGGCCAACGTCGGGGCGGCCGGCAACGGGTACGGCGTGGGCGGGGTGACGCAGTTCTCCAGGTCCAACGCCACGCCGGCGACGACCAACGCGCAAACCCGACACGTCATTTCTCCCTTGGTTTGCGAAGGCGCCGTCCCCACCCTGCAGTCGCCCAAGAATACAGTTGCCCCTAGCGACGTCATCATTGAACGGCAACCCTCTCCGCAAACGCTCATGGCTTCGACCACCCCCACGGATTATTCCGGGAACATCCAAAGAGTGAAAACCTCACTGGTTGAACAAAATCAAAATCGAAGCCCGACAGGTCTTAATCTCAATCTTGGGGCTGGCAATGAGCAAAATGCTAATAACATTGACTTGAAACCAGTAGTAATGAAACGAGTTGATATTGAAGGAAATAACAAATTACATCAACTCATGAATGGATCATCAAACGAAGCCAATGCAGGAGCTGAAAATAACAATCTAATTCCAACAAATCATAACATCGTGTCTCCGATTAAAGGCACTGCCAACAATAACTCCATCAATGTATGCAAAAGAAAAGAGAGAACTTCATCCAGCAAGTCCAGTCCAAGTGGAAATCAAATTGGAATAGCTGGTGCGAAGTGGTGTGTGAACAAACAAGAAGAAATTCAATTCATAGATGAAGACTCCCTCGGGGAATCTGCCGATAAAAGTAACGCAAAGCAAACTTCGTCTGCAATGGTAATGGGACAACATCCTCCTGTTTGTCTAGCAGACTCTATGGTTCGTAGTTGCAGTGTCGGTTATTTAGATTTAGTGGATGCACAATTGGTTCCTTGTGAGGTAGCTTTGATGATGTTGCGAAAAGAAACACCAAAGAGATTAGTGCTAGTAAATCAGAAGAAGCAGAAGAAACATAAAAGTAAATCACAGCAGAATCATGAAAATTCAGATAAAAGTAGTAATAATTCTAGTTCTCAGCCACCTAAGTTAAAACATTGTGGAAAAAGTAAAAGTTTAGACTCAACAGATATTTTCACTCCAAGAGAACATGCCACTGAAAAGAATCCTCCGTCCGATTCTTCCATGCCCCATGCCAACATGAACAGTATTGATGATAATGCCAAAGCTCAAATACCTGCCACTTCATCTGCCCAAAATAACACACAAAATACAAATTCAAAATCTTCTGTCAGTCAAACCGTGCCATCAAACATAGTGAGTATAAACGAAGCCAAAAATATGCTCAATCAGAAATGTTCTATTAATGAAATTGAAAGTATTGTGGAAAAATCTGCTATTGAGTCAAATACAAAGAACACCTCAAGATTTGTATACAGAGATGAAATTGTAAAAGATACAGCCTCATCTAGTAGTACAACAGCACAAGTAATGGCCAGTTTGGCAAATCTTGTGGCACTTGATAGTTTAACTTCCAGAGCAAGAGATCTTGACGACACTCATTCTTTGCCTCCCCCATCACCTTGTACTTCTCCCCGTTTGCCTCGCAGTAGTCCTGCCAGCCCTGCACCAAGCAAGAAAGCAAACAAACGAAATCAGTCCTCTTCACCCATCAGGTAAAAGTCATGTTTTGAAATATCTACATCAATTAGAATAAGATATATAATATATTTCAAGTCTATTCTTTTGCTCTATTTTCATTTTATTCATAATGAATTATCTTAGTCTTTTTTTAAAAAACACAAAGGGACATAATGTTGTTTTTTTTGCACTGTTAAATGTATATTACTAAGGTTTCATATTACCTACATCTTTCTTGACCCTTAATATGTTTTTTCCTTGACCAGGAAACATTTGCTCAATTCTCCTCTCCTAAATAGAAGGCAACGCAAAAGCAAGACCACAGAGAGTTCAGATGATGAAGTAGTACACTCAGGGGATGAAGTGTTCAATGGAAAGAACTACCGTGATCTCGAAAGTTTTCAGAAGGCTCAGCTTAGACAGAAGGTTTGTATGAATTCTATATCAACAACTGCAAGTTGCAACTGCAAGTAGTTAATGTGCATCTCAAAACATGTGCAGAAATATAATTTCCTTAGTCAGGACAGGTAATTCAATATTGGTGTAGAAGAAATAAAACAGAATTAACATTGCTTTCCTTTTTAACAACCAATTGATCAATATTAAAATGACAGAAGAATGATTTCACGAAATATCTGACTTAACACTTTGCATACTTATATGTTGTAGGCCATGAGACAAATTAAAATTAATTATTATTCATTTTTTTGAATTTGTTTTTTCCTTATTTGAAAAAGGAATAATTTATTATTCTTTTTCGAAACTTTTACAAAAATTCCATGGTAATCATCAATATAGTGAAAACAGATTGCAAGGCATTGCTGAGAGAAAAATACATCAAAATAAAATGTATTTAAGTGAGGTCATTAGTGACTTACAAGCTCAAATGTAGAAAGCAAGTAGTGCTAAAGAATGGCGTAGACTTTCTCGTTTTAGTTTTCAATTTTCTTTGGTCTTGGCTACCTATACAAATTTGCCACATACTCTTACCTGCTGCTATCTATTGTCGCCCAAAGCACTTTTTATTTCTTTTTTTTCTTTTTTTTTTCTTCATCTTAATTTTTCAATTTCTTAATAGTAGAATGGAAATATTATTTTAATAATATTAAAGAACAGTAAAAGCTGGCACTAAATGGAAATTTTCATGGAACAACTTGGAGCGGTTTTTAAGAAAATGGCGCTTAAGGGCTGCTGTAAATTCGAAAATTAGAGCTCTTTCTTACAGAAAATTTTTGAGTTTTCGAAAAACTTCATCAAAAGTAATTTTAAACACATTAACTCACAAATGCAATAGTGTTCACAAAATGCTGGAAATGTGCATATTAACAGCCTGAGAGACCTATCAAAAAAATTACATTTGTGTAATTTTTGAAATTACAAAAACATGCCCTGACATAAACTCTATGTTATATTAAAAAGTGCAATTAGCCCTATATGTTCAAAAATTTTGAAAAAAATATTTCAAGCCGATTTTGACAAAATGACGTTTGGTTTCTGAAAATGCGGAAGTTGGAGCCAGTTTTCACAGAAAATTATTGGTTTTCGAAAAAATTTATATAACATTATTTAAAGCACATGGACTCATAAATATAATAACATGAACAAATTGCCGATAATATAAATATTAATGACATGAGAGACAAGTCAAAAAAACTACATTTTTGTAATTAAAAAATAAAATAAAAGTGCAATATGGCATTTATATCAGCTTGAGTGCACTTAGCATATCTCTTTCAAAGGTTTAAAGAAAAAATTTGGGGCTGTTTTTGCAAAAATCTGATTTTTGTAATTTTTTAAATTACAAATACTTACAATATTGCGTGAAAACTACTGAAATTTTCAAAAACATGTACATGACCTTAATGAAAGAACTCACTATGGAAAACAAATTTTATCTGAAGGAAAAATCTCTATCTTCCGTTTCGAAGTTGTAGGAAAACGCCCAGAAAATTTTGAAATTTTAAAATTTTAAAATTTTTGAAAATGTAGAGTTAACCATGAAAATTGGGCCTATACTACCTTTATAAAGTATATTTTACTCTATTCTTACAAGAAGTATAAAGAAAAACATGGAACTGTTTTTAAGAAAATTTTGAAACTATCTGGCGAGCTTCATGTAAAGCCCCCCAAATTTTGAAGAAAGTTTTTCAAAATAGCAGTGCCTCAAATAGACACAGATCAACTATGGAATATCCATTTTGGAAAAAAGAATCGTACGTATTATTTGCCTAAACCATATACCAGTGGTATTCACAGAGTGACAGACAGGTGGGCAGTCATTTTGAAATTCGTTCCAGTTGTTCAGTAATTTGATTCCAACTTTTATTTCCTTTGAAATACCAAATATGGTGGGGGAAAAGAAAATTTCAGATTTGTAATTGTCAGTAATCAGAATTGTAAAATATCGTTCTGAGTTTTCACTGAATACAATAAATTGGTTTTATCAATCTAAAAAGAATTTGAAATCAATTTAAGACCTTTTTTGAACTTATATTATAATTTTTTTAACAGCTGAAACGAGGTAAATTTAAGGATGCACCAGAATGCAACTCCACCCCTCAGAGTCCTCGTCGCAGAGAATTTGTGATGCACAACAAAGCGCCAATGTGGAATGAAAATAGTCAGGTATATCAACTTGATTTTGGAGGTCGAGTAACTCAGGAATCAGCCAAAAACTTTCAAATAGAATTCAGAGGAAAACAGGTATAGTATTTTTCTTTTACCATTTTACAAACTATTTTATCTTTGTTTCATTGAGAACAACAAGAAACTTTGACAATCTGAAATTAAATAGACAATATGTAGAATGTAAGAAAAAAGATTCTAGTTCATTTTCCAGGTCATGTGTGTATTTCATTAGGTTGCTAATATGACTTTATAAGGATGTTAACATGTATTAAAACTTAGATATTAACACTTCTATTATTTTTCTATCAAAGGAAATTAAAAATAAAAATTATTTTCCACAGGTGATGCAATTTGGGCGAATAGATGGAAATGCATATACTCTTGATTTTCAATATCCTTTCTCAGCATTGCAAGCATTTGCAGTAGCTCTGGCAAATGTTACTCAGCGATTGAAGTGAATTGAGACATATCAATGTACCATTTACCTTAAGAAGGATGATAAAAATATGCAGGTGGGAGTTGACATTAATTGAATTTAAATTTTAGTTCAATTTATGGAAAGTCAATTTTATTATGTTCAGTAGGAATAATAGTTTTTTATATTTATATTTCTATGTCTAAAACCATATTTATTTCCAATTGCAGGCTGTGAAATTGCAAAGAAAAACACCACCTTCCATTTTTCTTGCTGAAACTGGTTTAATCACTGGCGTAAGGAATACTCATTACTACAATTTAGAGATTCCTTTTACCAATATTATATAGAGCTGTAGAAGTTTAGTTGTGCTGGATGATTGAATTATATTGCAACAAGTGCATGCAACTTCTCAGCTGTATTATTCATGGTTTCTATGACAGCGACATTGTCAGCCACTGAGTCAATTGACTGAATTTTTTTCTTGAAATGATGTGTTATTCTGAGGCCTATGTCTATGAAGAGAAGTGTCTTTTCTTCTGTAGAGGGAAATGCTTTTTGTCCAGAGAAAGTACTGAGTACTTGAACTCTTTTAAGTGGTAGATCAGTTTGTAATTTAGCAATTTCATTCTTGCAAAGAATTTTACATCACCATGCTACTTTTTCATAAAGGAGGCTGCAGATTCACTTTTTTTTCTCCTGTGACAAGAAATCATTCCATTTTTTCTCTCTAAAATATTTCAAGAGGTAATAATATACAAATACCAGTCGTGCTACTTACTTTTTTAAAAGAGAACAGACTGATACGAATATGACTTCTTAAGTTAAATAAGTTTTTCTGGAACTTCAATACTTTTCATAAACCAAAAGTAATACCTATGCTGTAAATTAATTTAAACACTAATTCACAACAAAATGTTATATCATCTATTATGTCAACCAATGATGATGGACCACTTGTTATGTTGACTTCACAGATTCGCCTTCTGCTAATAGGATTTACTTTTGTCATTTATTTTATATCATCATCATAAATGGTAAACACTTTATGCCACCAAAAGTTAGAACCATTTTTTTAACATAGGTGTGCGCAGCCTAAAACAAAAGCAGGGGCCAACTGCATTTCTGGGTGCCCATTACCATTAAACTCTTTACATAGTACATATGATATTTTAATAGTAAATAAATAAAATGGACTACATAGAGAGTGAACTCTTAACTTTAATGTAACAATTATTAAGTACAATTGATGTTATGTTGAACCATTTATAAGTTTGGAAGATGGATTGGAGAGTCAAATGACATGTAACAATTCCCCAAATAGTCAGGTTAAAAAGGGGGATAAATCATACATATAACTTATTTCCAGGAATTAAAATGTTTTATTGCTCCAGGGCTCCTTTCACAAATCTCAGCACCCCCTCCCCCTCCTTCAACTCTTGTGCGTACGCCTATGATTTATTATCTATCCAGTTGTGTAGTGTATGTATCAAAATTGCATTGAGTATGCTTTACTTTTTGGAAATATATCTCATGTTCTTACATTAGTTCACCAACCATTGTAGTTGCAAGTATTTATCACCCCAAAATACAACAGAATGAAATGAATCTGTAACATAAGGACCTGCATAATTCTCAAAAAACATTAGATATTAATTTCTTTATATTTTTTAATATTTGTTTATTCCTTGCTAAAGAAAAAAGCTTGTAAATATTTAAGCTATATGTTATTATTACTCTTGTTAAAATAATTATTAATAGTTAATATTTTATACAAACATTCCTTCTGTTATAATTGAACATATCTTCAATCAACATATCCTCTGTTAGTCCTACAGTATTGTTATGCTCTTTAGAATTAAGGTAGCTGAGTAGAGTCAGTATCATAAAGCAACATCAAAATTTGAAAATTCCATAGAAGAAAAGTAAAACTTTTCAATTCTATCAACTTCCATTATAGGTGAATGGTATGATACATTGGTACTGTAAAAAGTTGTTTTAAAGAAATGTTAGACATTTTTGGCTGTTACAATATTTGCTGAAGTAAATTTCACTCTATAAAAATGTAGTGAGAATTTAATTTACCATACCTATTTGAGTCATTCACTCACAAATTCAGAAAATGAACAGAATCTAATAAATATTTATTATTTCATTACTCAGTATTCAACAGAGACAATAACAGACCAAGTAGAAAATTGTAAAATATATCTAATTATTATCAATTCCTGATAATGCAGATCCTTGTGTTGGTTTGGAAACTTTAAGTGTATATCTTCTTCATTCTTTTAAAAAATGTATCATTAGAATATAATTAGTGCAGTGAAGTATATTGTGTTGGACCTTGTGGTGAGGGCACTTCTTTCAGATAAAAGAGAAAATAATACATATAGAATTTTTGAAATTTAGACAGTATGGCTTATTGACTCATTCTTTGTTCATAAGAAGATTAAATATTTTTACACAGACTTAAATGTAACTTAATAAAGATATTTAAAATAATTCAGAATAATTTTTTCTGAATTGACTAAAGCATGATTTTGTGAATTTGCAAAAGTTGTTTTTTGTATTTGTTTCCTTTGGACTCTGTGCTTCTTGTTTTCCTATGTATTTTCATTTCATTACATTTGATATCCTTCTAAACTATTTATCTTTACTTTTCTATTTATACTTCCTTACTTCTATCTCAACACTTCATTATTTACAGCTGTTTTCCTTAATTCTCTGTTTGTTTCCCCATTCTCAGTTTCTTGTAGAATAACTTTTAATTATATACCATTTCAACAGTATTTATTCACAGCTCTTCTGTTTGTGATAATGTTTCACTGTCATATAATAAGAATAGTTTTGCTTGGTTTTGTTGTTTTCTTTTCCTCACATGTAATTTTGTTACTTAGTTCTATACCAGAAAGAATTTACGCACTTATTTTGTTTATTTTATTCAGAATTAGTTTGTTTGAGAAATGCTATTTTGTTTTTAGCAATCAAACAACTTGACAGCATGAGAAATTTGAAACCAATTTGCTATGACAATCTACTATACCTTTCAGAGGAACTCATATATAAGAATATATTTCACTGCACTAACAACAGTGTATCACTTTTCTCTTTCTTGTAGGAATTGTTATTCTTGCTTTTAACATCATTATGATATATGTAAACTCACATCTGGTATTTGAACCTCCTTATTTGAGCACATATGTACATAGATACACTACGTAAATGGCAATGATGTCTCTGTAGCTGTATGTATGTACAATAAAGAATTTCATGAATGGTTTTGGTCAAATACTTAACAGTACCGTCCATGTAGACAAACACTTAAGTGAATTTACATAATATTTCAGAATTGAGAACCTTCATCATTCCATGAGATAACTCAATAAATATTTTCATCAAACTTCTTTATTACAGACATCAGTAATTACTACAATAAATATTTTTATCTGTGAAGATGAATACTTTCTCACAATGTTATTTAGAATTATTATTAAATCAATATGTTCTTCAATTTGTGATTAATGTGCTAAATTTGCATTTGTGTTCAAAACATGGACGATTTTATTGGAGTTTTTCAGCGAAAGGAAAACTAATATGACATTTTGTAGTGAATCTAGAAATGTACTGTAAATCTGTCAGTGCAGCTTGTATTTTTAACAAACTGAATGTTTGAGTATGCTGACCATATTCAGTTTGAAGTTAATAATGTATGAAACATTTAACAAATTTGGAGAAGAATTTACTGTAGTAAGATGAAGTGCAATGATGCAATGCAATGCACATCTTAAACATGCTACATCTCACACTTGAGGATTGTGACGTATGTGACATGAGTGTTTTTAAGTGAAGAATATATTTTGTTGTGCTGCCTCTCCTTTAATTTTGTATTTTTTTAGAATGAAGTTTTGAAGATAAATTGTTTAGAGCATTTACATACAAGACTGTTGAATATATGATTTTTATTGCATTAAGATGATCCAGGAGACTACATAGTGTTTGGCACAAATATTGAACTAGTGTATGATTTAAACTATATATTTGAAAAAACAGAAGGCTTCTGGTTTTATATTACTTTTAAACAATACAAAAGAAAGTTTCATTTTGATGAATTATTTTGCAATATGCTTAAATTTTCATTAAATTTGAATACAAGCAGTTTTGGGGAATTGTAAATGTACCAGTATTTTTATTCATATTTGAGCCAAATACTCCCTACAAAAGTCTGTATCTGTGAGAAGTACACCGTTTGTCAATACAGTTTTGCAGAAATTTTCTTCTGGTTTTCAATTTCACAATATTATGTTATTGCTTTATACCTTTGTTACCCTGGAAATTATTATTGACTGATTACCCATTTTTCTGATCTGTATTAAAAGAGCAGTACCACAAATGATATAAAGAAAGAAAACTGTGCTGGAAGGAGTTTTATTTCAGTGTGTTTAAAGGGAATAGTGCAATCTTGTTAGAATTTTGTGAATTATATAATTAATGACTTAATGCTTAGTAAATAATTACTTTGAATGTTTGACTCTATCATGTAAGTTGTTATAGGGTGTGTGATGTGACTGATTTGTATGTAATTGTATAAATATAAATATATTTCATTCATTGTGAGCAAGATTGAAACAAACAGAATGGATGTACCTCTATTTGACACACTGCACAGAATGACCAGTGATAAAGTATTTATGAATTCTTCTTATGATAACTTTCTCATTAAATGATGCATTTCAAACATTTTATTTCTGGAGATAATCAAACTCTCTTAATAAAAATAATCTGTAGTTTTATGTGCACACAGCTGGTTGCAAAGTAAACACACAAAAAACTATGCATTCATGTTTGAAATTTACATTAAATGACAAAATATGGATTTCTGCTTTGGGAAAATTAATTTATGAAATTGCAAATAAAGATTCACACATGGCTGATGTATTCTAATGTTTTAATCCTGGAAATGTAAAAAGGGGGAAAATATAAGGGAGTTATGCTACATTTTCACACATGTCTCATAATATTAGGTGTAGATCAAAATACTGCAGAGACATATTCCTATGGTATTATCTAAACTTCAATTATTAATGATATGATCATGACTATGTAGATGTTTACCAGTATCATTTATTGATGGCCTATGTGCATTTATGTTCTAATTGCAACATTTCTGATTTTCCCATTTGGAGTTTTATTTGCTTACAAAGAAATATATACAATTGTCTCAGATTATTTTCCTATTTTGCTTATAATATGCATGCTATTATGCTTTTGCTGAAAGGTTACCACCAAGGTAATGAGGATTCACTTACCCAAATGTAATATCTTGTAAAATACTCATACGTGCGTGTTGTACTAATATATATGTTTACATATTATGTTGTCTGATGTATGTTTTCTATGTAGATATATTTGTACATATATTTTAGGAAAAGTAATATAAGCATGGTTCTCTTTTAATATACCTGTGATACATGTTTGTGAACAAGTGGTTCAGACATGGTATATATGTGAAAATCATATTCCTATTATAATAAATGTATAGATTTTATCGTATGCCAAGGCTTGAATCCACATTCATTCTTATGTGATTCCAATAACTCAGAATGATGAGAATCTTCAGGGATGTAAATTGTTTCTCTCTTCTTATTAAATTCTCTGGTATTGTATTACATCACAAACAACTCAATTTAATTCAAAAATAAATGTTTATTTGTTGCTTTATTTTCATTTACGATGTACTGCAAAGACATTATATTATTTGTATCATTAAATTTCTACAAAAATTAATATTGTGTATCAAAAATTAGTATTGTGCATCAAGAAGTAAACATCCATACAATTTTGTAATTATTGGGCAACATGTCCCAAAACCACTCCAGAAATATTTTTTTAAAAAAATACTTCATTTGAATGCAAAATATAGTGCACTTTCATTTAATGTGATAAAAGGCTTAATTCTATTTCCAGTGTTTACGTGATGATTAAAACTCCTTGTAATTATATTATGTAATGTTTTGTGGATAGTTACCTTCCAGCACTGAGGTAATCAGATCATCAAAGCTCATTTTCTTCTGAGGAAATGCAGCCAAAAAGTTTCCAGGATACAAACATTGTATATATATATACTATGAGTTAGTTTGCCAGTTTTTATTGTTATTTGGCAATTTTATACATATTTAAAAACAATGTTGTTTTTCTTATTAAAAGTTATAGTTTTATTATAAGAACATTCCACTGTCTGTAGTTTCATCATATATAGTTTTTAGAACTCCTACTGAACCTACTCTTTCATTATGTTTTTTGCAATGAAAAGTAATTTTTGATACATGCATTCGGAAACAAAGTTACAGTTATTAAAACAAGAATTTCTAGATATCAATTAAAATAATAAATCTATCTTCTTGCTTAAGAAATATGTATAAGAAATCACTAGAGGTCTTATTTAAATTCTTTTTAAATATATTTGTTCACACACAATTCATATGCAAACTGAGACTGAATAAATAAATGAAAATTTAAAATGATTTTCAAAAATACTGCTTCATTGTAATAAGTTAGATTTATTTTTTTAAGTGTTCTAACAAATGTTCATGCATTAAATCTCATTTGAATATTTTCCTTTCCCCCCCATAAGTTAAATTGAGTTTTCACAGAAACAAAAACTGGAAAGAAAACATATTTTTAAATTTTAAATGATTATGCTTTAAATAGAAACAAAAATAAAAAGCACTCATCAATGTGTGAATAAAAACAAATAACTTATTTATTTTGAAATTTGAATTACAAAGTCATTTGTTTCTTTACCACAATGCAAATCACTGCATAGTGATCTGAAGTCCTGCAGATAAAGAAGGTTGAGAGAAATCCTACCAGTCTTCTTCACAAATCATCTTCTCTAATCACATTTCATATGTTTTCATTTTCTTTAAAAGAACTAAAAAAATTCCAGTCTAGTACAGTACCTTTAAGTGCAATTTTGGACAGGAATAATATTCATAAGCATATGTGAAAGCAACCATAAAATATTGAAGGCTTATCATAACTCATCTTCTCGTGTCACTCAAAGAATAAGCAAATAAGACTTGATGTCTTATTTAGTGAATTCTGAAACAATATTTAAGGGATAAGACAATTTGAAACATGTATTTTAATTTTGTAATTCCACCAAGTTAGTAGATAATACCATTTACAGACGTAAGGTAAGTTGAATACCTGGACATAAGCAGAGCTGCCAAGAGAAAATCTAGATTGAGGTACAAAAATGTGGGAGACCTTTGAACCATATTCTATTGTCATAAATTCATGTATATTAATTAATTTCTTACAATTGTTGACTACATTGATATGTTTACATGAGTCGCTACCATAGACATCTAATTTTGAAGAATACAATAAATATTAAATCTTCAAATTATTTTTAAAATTTTGTGATAGGCTGGGCTTCATTCATTCACTTGAGCTTCATAGGTATTGGAGCAATGTACAGCTGTAACTCTCTTTTTCTTTTGTGTGTTTATAAGTGCCAATTTGTGCTTCTATTAATTATAACTTTTTTATCAATTTCATCATGTATTGCAGAGTGAAAGGTCTGAGGCCTGTTCCACTTGAAGCAGAAGACTTAAGAAGAATATTAATTTTCCAGGTGTTCCTGCATGGCTTATTCATTATATTGGCCATTATTAGCATGTGAACAGAATAGAATTAAAAAACCATTTTACACAAGAGAATTTATTCACTAAATGTTTTCTAGTTAAGTAATGGTACGAATTTTGAACAAGCTCTTGGGCTTGAACTATTTTTGTTTTAGAAAGGCTCAATAAACACACTAGTCCTAAAACTGATCTTTCCTTGGATTGTTGGTTGGGATTATATACTATTGTAATACTATTGGACCAGCATGGGAATGTCACCAGCACCAATTTTTTTGTTTTCTTTAAGGGGAGTGGCAAATAAATACAAATTACAAGGAAGACCCCTCCCATATCCCATAAACTTAAAATGTGGGATGCCTGCCAAAGTGTTTCCCAATCAAATAGAATATTTGCTCAGGCTGGTATTTGAAGCCAGGCATATAATGCTGCAATAAAACATCATTATACACTTTGGTGAGGTTTGAACAATGCTCCTCACACATGGGAAAGATAGTTTGCAGTTTTGCAATTTTCAAAAATTGAGAGGTTTCACTGGAAATTGGGTCTGCAACCTTTATATATGCATATTTTCCTCTACTGAAATAAAATAATTAAAGTAAGAAAAAAATGGATACAACTTTGGGAAAATTTTGAAAATGTCACTGGAGCTTCATGTGTAGAACCCCACACCCAAAATTTAAAAGACTCATGTCAAATGCTGCAACTTTAACCAGACTAATCTGGGAATATCAATTTTGGCAAAAAACTCTAAATACAATTAAGACATTAATTCCTGTCAAATGGGGCATTTATTCCCTCACAGATGGAAAGACACTTTTGGGAAAAACACTTTTTCATTAACAAGGACTCACAAAATGTGTATTTTGACCATATTACATATTCACGAAAGTAATTTCAACAGCAAGTAAATTTCACTTTTTCATTATCAGAGACCCTCAATGTCGAAAAATTTGCACTTTCGCCTACAATATTACACAAAGTAAATTCGTGAAAGTAAAAAATTACTTGGCTTAGTATCACAAAGAAATGAGTTTTTGAAAAAGAAATCCAGCCTTCAGTTCATTGTCATTGCCTTCAAGATTTAATATTTTTTGTTCTGGGCACATCGACCGTTTTGGACAATAGTGCATGTTATATTCCAATAGATAGCGGGGTTCCTCCCCTGCTAGAATGTGATGCCCGGAGCCGACTTGCACGCAAACGTGTGGGGTTTCCCACCTCCTGGTATCACCTCTAAATGGAATCGCCCCAGCCGGGACAAGCTGTTTGACTTCCGTCATGTATGGTAGTGTAGTAAGTGCATGTAAGTGTAAACGTATGAGGAAGTGGAGATGAAGAGGAGAGGGAAGAGTGCGCGCAGACCGTGGCCGGTATCTCTTCTTTACGGTCCTACTCCGGTTTCCGCCCGGTATTGATCGGTGAAATCACGGAAACATATCAATCAAAGCAGCTGGCTGTCAGAATTCTCCTTCAGAAACTGAATACGATTTATTTTGCTATGTCGAAAACCCGTCAACGTCGGGATTCGAACCTCCCGGTCATAAGCGCTGCAGGGGCAATGCTTGTTGCCCGGAGCAATCTCAGATGGTTTGGCTTCAAGAAGTAAATATTATTCTAGGAAAATATGTTTAAAGTAAGTAGTCACAGTTTATATTTTAACGCTCAGTTACTCGCCCTGGCGAACTTTGTACGCCCGTGAGACTGTCGTTGAATGTGTCAGATAACATCAACGGGCCTTTATTTATTTACGTCAAAAAACAGTTAAAAACTGTACGTGACATGCTATGGGGAGATGTTAAATCGAAGTTACATTTATGTCCAGAAGCAAAACAAGGCTCAAGGATCAGGAAACTGGAAGAAAAACCTGATCGAGATGATGATGCTGCTGCTGCTGCTGCTGCTGCTGATGATGATGATAATAATAATAATAATAATAATAATAATAATAATAATAATAATAATAATAATAATAATAATTAATAATATGCATTTATTGATATGGCGAGGCTCGGGCAATCAGGCCCGCCCTTCCGCCTAACCACATATTACAAATATACAGATTAGTCTAAAAAAGTAATGTAATCTACAAAATGTAAATGTATAATCTACATCTGGTAAGTAGTTAGTGGAAAGCAAACATCATTTAAAGCGACTTATAACTAGATAGCATCACAGGTTAAATGGATACAATGTTACAAAAATTTGTTTGAAATAATTTTAAAATTCATATACGGAGATTGAAAACACAATTTGAATCAAATAAGATATCGTGCACGATATTCATAAAACATGTGCTTTACAAATCTGCGCACCCGCCGCTCGTTCCTGGAGGAAAACCCGCTAGTCGGGGAAAACCCACCAGGCAGACTGCGTCCTAATACAATGGAAACTAAGCTAACATGAAGTAACGGGTCTTTGAGATGGTATCTTCAGCTGCGGTCCATGCCGCAAAGGGCCGTTTTCCTGTTTAAATCCGCCTCTGCTCCTACGGATGAAAATACAATTATTTGTAACTCGTGCAACAAATTTGTATGCAAAGAACTTTCTTGTAAAGTTATGAAATTATCTCAGTGGCAGGTGCATGTAATATTTATTAGGGGACAGTAATTCGGTATAACTTACAAGTCAGCATGTTCAGTCATGTAGCTTTCTCAAGGGTAAACATTTTTTTAAATATTTTTGTGACTCACGAAAAGCGAAAAGCTGTCAAAGAATGTTGAATAATTACTTCAAATATTTTAAAGATGGTGTTATGAATTGTTCCAAGAAATCTTTCGATAATACTGAATAAATCTTTGGTGAAAACTTCATTCCCGCATAAATTACATTGTTTTTTTAAATTTTTATTTGATATTGTGTTATTATAATAGAAGACACCTTTATACATTTTTAAACAAATAAATGCGTTTCGTTAACAACTTTCCCTCTTAGAATGGAAATAGAAGAATAGGGAAGAGCGTGGGATTTAAGATGCGAGAGTTGTCGCTCGGGTATGCACAGGTAGTAGGAGAAAACTTGTGCTATGGCACAATACAAAGAACAAACTTTCAAAATGAACTAAAGTAAAATTGTTTGAAGTAAATGAACAACAAAAATCAAAACGCGCTATCCTACAATACTATGTGAATTAATTTTAAAAAAGTATTCAAACTTAAAATTATAGTTGTTTTATTTGTTCGTCTTAATGGGAGGTCCCACGATGACTAATTATGACGCTAGTGAAGTGATCCAAGATTTTGCGCCAAAAATATTTTTTCTTTCATTACTTCTTCAATTTTTTTTGTAAAGAACCTAATGTAAAGTTAATAAATCCCATCAGAAACTTCATTAACTTCGTTCCATTATAAATCGCAAAAGTAGCCTCAGCCCCGAAAATACTGTGGTTTTATATTACGTCCATTTTCCACCACTTCTCCTTTTCGCATAACCGATCTTGTGTCAATCAGTAGCATCACACGTAAACAATATCCAAGTTTTCAGAAATAGAATCCTCCGCATTGCAACCAAAGCCCCATGGTTTGTCACAAACGCAACCCTCCATTCCTATTTCAATCTAAAGTCAATTAAAGATCAAATCATTCACACAACCCACAATATCTTCTTCCATCTACCTAAAATAATCGGACCATCCTTTTATAAAAAAAAAAAAAAAAAAAAAAAAAAAAAAAAAAAAAAAACTGATTCTCGCCTCACTTCATTCATTCCAAATCCGCTTTGCTACCTGTGATTAAAAAGAAATAACTTCAGCAATTTATATCATCTCCTTAGTTTCTCCATTTTTTACTTTTTAAGCTTAGAATAAGAGATCAATCATATGTAGAACCGAAAGGCTGAACGATGTATATTTTTACAATAAATACACGAACTGTTAAAAAAGGAGGGAAGTCCATAATTCATATACAACACAAGCATTGTGATGGACTTGATACAGCTCATGTAAATGAATCTTGTCACCTATTCTTGTCACACCATCTATCCAAGATTGGTGAATAACTTAGCCATGAAAGGCTAGGTCGTCATCAAATTATTATCGACAGAGATTACCGCAAGAGGTCGCGTTAAGTAGTAGTAACTACTACTTAACTACTACTAGTAGGTGAATGTACAATAACTTGTTAAAGTAACTATCAATCAATTATTTTATCACGAAATTTTTTGTAGCCAAGAATTATTTATTTAACTCAGAAATTTACATGTATTGATGGGCCCCCCTGACCGTGGATGAATAGTCAATGGACCATGGTGTTGTTCTATGCTCTGACCCTCGGGGTCCTCGGACGTGGCCCTGTCTGTAACGGTCTGTAGGGAACTTCCGCCGCTGGAAGGCAGAGGTATATTGTTGCCGGCCGGCGCGCTTTATGCGTTTTTAAAGGGACGCCAGGATCATGATGTAAATAACATCACAAACACGGTCTGATTTCTTTCTGGTGAGTCGGTGGGGGATTACGCAGGATCTGATGGTGAGGTAGGATGAATTCTCGAAAGAGTGGGTCAGAGAGTATTATAAAGTGGATTGTTAACGCACGAGCTTTTGCAGAGTGTGGAGGTAGAAAAGGATGTGTGGTATGTTGTGTTGGCTTTGAATGGGTATAGGTGGGAGGGCGGAATATTTTTTATTTTATTTTATTTCTTTTTGCGTCTGCATTGACGCAACGCGTGTCTATGTCGACGCGTCTCCAAGTCCGTTGAGGGACGTTGAGCGCTTTACACTTTAATTAATCAGTAGAGAAATCCTCCATTAATTTGTGTAGTTTGAGTAATCCTACATTATCATTATCTACACTAACATTATATGAGACATTTACATTAACATTAAATCATATGCTACATTAACATTACATGAGACAGGAGGACCCGATTTTGTGGACAAGGTGAGTTTCTTGAGGTTATTATGGAATATGGCAAACAAGATGGGGTAGGTGAGGATAAGATGGATGTAGTTTTGAAATATTAAACATCAAAAACATAGTTATACCTAATAAATTGTATGCATGTGTTTATAAACCCAACTTACACATTTTAACATTGCCCGGAATTACTTTAAATTTTGCGGGCAATAACTTACAATGTAAATGGACTTGGTGCAATTAAATGAGTTTCTCGCATGTTGGAAGAGTGGAATCGCACGTTCCCTTTTCTTATCAGATAGGAGAGGTGTTCCGATAATGAAGCTTGTTATTTTAGGTACAACTCGTTATCTTGAGGCTGGAATGAATAATATCATTCTGACATTCAGGATTTCGAGGTCGCCCAGCGTTGGTGGCTCTGGTCGCAAGTTCGTGCCCCTCATGCCGGCGCGACCGTGGCGACCGGGTGCGACGTTGAGCAAGTGGCGTTCCTTTCAAGCGCAATTCACCTCGACGTTCAATGCCTGAACGTGCATTTTGCAATTGTAAAGAAGTTGCGTAGTGCAGAACAGCCTTCCGGGTAGTTAAGTTGTCTTTCCTGAAGAACGTAGTTAGCCTGTAAACAACAAATTGTAGATGTCATTTGCTGTTTATCTTTAAAAAAGGGTTTTACTTAAACGCGTTCACAATGGATTCCACCAGTGCTGCACTTCAGAGTTTAAAACTTGCAATAAATGGATATTTTCGTAATAAAGAACCGTGGCAAATTGTGACAATCACCGCAAGCAGTGTCCTTGCCAGTGTGTGGTTATGGGAGTTCATTTTCCAAGAAGAAAGTAAGTTTATTTTCTCAAAATGAAACATGTTGAGTTAAAGAAAGTCATTGTATGCATATTTTAACCTAATTTTTACATGTCATTGTCATTTTCAAATGTTTTAGGTGTGCTCTCTCGTGGGAAAAGAAAATTTTTCAAACTAGCTCGCCTTATACCTGCTGTAGCAGCTCGCATTGACAAGGAAATGGAAAATATAAACAATACGTTTGAGCATGAAGTTATTACTCGAACCCAGGGAACCCCATATATTACATCCTTGCCAGAAAATGGGAAAAACGATAAAGAAATAGTCGAAATGGTGGAAAAATACTTATCATTAGGTAAGAAATTCAGCAAAATCACTTGGCAAAATTCTGTAAAATTTACATAAATAAAGTGATGTTAAATCTTCAGTTTCGTACCTGAATGGATTTTGCTCAAAAATAATTTTTAAAACCTTGTATTGTTTTGGAAATATTTTTTAGTGAAGGAGAAGGTAAATTAAAAGCAAGATGAAATTAGTATAGATATTTGCTCTTTATGATACCATGACCGTGTAGTCTTTTGTGGTGTTAAGTTAATGGTTGAGATAATTCTAGTATCTGGGGTTTTCTGTTGTATTTTATTCAAGCATTTTCATCATCACAAGTAGTATTGAAAACTACACCAATCCTCAGCAAAACTGAATGGTATTACAGCAGTTTACGGCAACCTCATTAATGTTAAAATGAGCTGCAAGAAATATACGAAAATAATTATTTCGCTTATATGAACAAATGTCGATTTAAATAAATTAGTTATTCGTAATTATGCTTTAGAAAGAGGTATTTATATTTAACTAAAAAATTTACTCATATTTTATTATTTGAAGTTTCATTTTGGTTTGGTTTGTCCTTTTGTGTTTATTTTTTACCTCTGTTATGTATAGTGTGAAAAAGGGATTTGTGACATTACCTTTCTTTTAGATGTACAGTGGGAAATTGTAGTTTGCCTATAGAGTTCAGTGATTCTAAAATAATTTCTACTTTTTTCTCTTGATTCATCTTTTGTAGGTGACTACAAATGGAGTGAAGGATATGTGTCTGGAGCTGTTTATTATTACAACAAAAATTTAATAAAATTGCTAACAGAGGTATATGGTCTTGCATCATATACAAATCCTTTGCATCCTGACATTTTTCCTGGTGTATGTAAAATGGAAGCTGAAGTTGTTCGTATGACTGCTAATCTTTTCAACGGGGGACCACTTTCTTGTGGAACTGTAAGATTCTCGAAGATCCTCTTTTATTTTTGCTATGTTGAATTGGATGTGCAAAGTGCAATCTTAAATTGCTTCTATTACATTAAATTTATAACATTGATTTTCGAATTAGTTTTATGTAAAATGCATGCTTGAAAAAAATAGTTCAATAAATCTCCAGAGAATTTTTCTTGATTTCAGATGACAACTGGTGGTACTGAATCTATTGTTATGGCCTGTAAAGCATACCGTAATTATGCCTTTGAGAGAGGTATTAAGCATCCAGAGATAGTTCTGCCAAGAACTGCTCATCCCGCTTTTGATAAAGCTGCAGAATACTTCCGTATGCGCATTACACATGTACCTGTTGATCCTGTAACTACAAAAGTTGATTTGAAAGCAATGAAGAGAGCTATTAGCAGAAACACATGCATGGTTAGTATGCTATTTCAGCAATTTGGAATCTTATTTTTATATGCTTTGTTTGTGTAACATTGTTAGGTAAAATGGGCATCGTTCAATTTTTGTATTAAGCTCCTGTAAATACATATAAAAAACTGTTATCTTGTATGTGACCTGCAATATAAAAGAGTCAATTAGTGTATTCCAAAAATTTGGAATCTTATATTTAGATTCTTGTTTGTGTACCCTTTTTAGATAAGATAGGCATCAGGCATCATCAGTTTGATAGTTAGTTGACAGATAGTATTGGTTATCATTTATAACAATGTTAATGATCTCTGTCCAACAAAATTTACCTTCATAAAAGATACTAAATTTTGTTCTCCTTTGATGTTTGTCCAGATAAGTGTCTTAGACCAATATTTTGTATATTATGTTTTCATGTAATTTTGATTCAATTTGAGCTAGGTTTTTTTACAAAATTTCGTATTTTAATTTTCTCCTTGAATTCAAACACTCTAATTTCCTCTTTGAAATGATACTTAAGCAACTGAAGATGTTTGCAGAAATATGAATTCAGACAGCAAAATTAGGTTTTATTGTAATGTTTTTGTTAAGTTGTGTCTTGCAGAATAGGCATATAATTTGACACTTACGATTTTAAAGACCTGCAATAAGCGGTGTAAAATATGATTGCAGAATAACTCTAGAAATACTAGTTCTGTATTCCAATACTGTGTTCTGGAAACTATTTTTTTTTTTGTGAGATGAGTGTATATAGAAATAATTGGCTTCTCCAGTTTCTTAAAACAGACACTTGTAGGATTGTACTGCTTCTGATACCTTGTTTATCATTGTTACAAATTAACACCAATTTCATATAAGTCTCTTCTATGAAATTTAAAAGTAGTATATTAACTTATTAAACATGATGTAATTACCATTTAAAACACCAAAAAGATATTAAATCATTTAATTATTTTTTGTTTTTGAATTACACATTTGGTTTGTTTGTTTCTTTTACAGAGCTAACTTTCATGAGATTTAAATTACCTCCTTAATTTACCCTCTTAATTTTCCTGTTTGTCTAATTTATGAAAGACATTTTTTAAAGAAGATGCCATTACTGGGAAAATTCATTCATTTATAAGTGTTTGGACATTTTATTTTATGTTTTGTTTTCAGCTTGTAGGATCTGCTCCAAATTATCCGTATGGTACCATGGATGATATAGAAGCAATTGCAGCTCTTGGCCGTAAATATGATATTCCCGTTCATGTGGATGCTTGTTTAGGAGGTTTTGTCATAGTTTTTATGAGAAAATGTGGTTACTCAATTCCTCCATTTGATTTCTCTGTTCCTGGTGTCACAAGTATATCAGCTGATACTCACAAAGTATGTAATTTCTGTTGAGTGCGAGAAAGTAATTATCTAATTGTAAATGGTTGCAAAATGCTTGGATTTTCTATTAATAATGTACAAATTTTTAAATACAAATAATTTTATTTGATCATTAATTTTTCTTCTTTCAGTATGGGAATGCCCCAAAGGGCTCATCCATTGTTTTATATTCTGATCCTAAATACCGCCATCATCAGTTTTGTGTAACTACAGATTGGCCTGGTGGTGTTTATGGCTCTCCAACTGTGAATGGTTCTCGTGCAGGAGGTAATTTTTATTATTTGTTTGGCTTTGCTCCTTGAAAAATAATAATAAAATTTATTCCCTTATTTTTATTTATTGTCATGAAGAAATGCAAGGAAAATGTGTTTCATAGTGTCTAATAACCATTCTTAGTTGAGTACCTGGACTTTTCAAGTATTGTGAATTAAGTGAATTTTCAAATTGATGATGTAGTTTTAAAGTGATTACAAATTTATATATGCTTAAGAAGGAACACAAGAACAAAAAATTAATTTTAAAATGTTAAAAGGGTGCATTTTACAATATAACTTATACCATTTTATCCAGCAAAATTTAAATATTTAGAAAATGTTAAAATCTTTCCTCGTTTCCAAAAAGAACCTAAAAAATATTCAGATTTTTGGTTAATGACTCCAGTTAAGAAAATGTGCTTTGATTAAGCTAAATATTTTTAGGGATTTAAAGTATGATTGTAATAACCATAAACTTGAAATGACTCCAATATTATTTTTTTATATTACATTGGCTAAATGTTATTAGAAAGGCTTCCTAAACTAGAACAGACTAGACACTTTTTACCCATAATGATCAGCTTTTGTCCACTTGCCTTTATCAAAGGAGCAAATACTGAAATGCTTCTATGCTTTATTTCTGGACAATACATTTAAATTCACTTCCTTCAACAACAGGATTTTTACTGTTTTAAGTGTTAAATAAAACTACAAGAATTCATATGTTCCAGCCCAAAAAATTATCTGAGGATATATCCTTTTCCTCCAGCCTCCATACTGGTGGAGTTTGTTCTGGGCAACAATTGTTGCTACCACAGCAACTCTGAAGGGGGGGTGAAACCCATTGGTAACATATTTTTGATACTAGCTAGATTGCTGCTAGCTGCTGTAGGAGTAGTTTTTCGTATAAATACCAAGCAAATATCAGAGCAATACTTAAATACATTTCTGGATACTGGAGTAGTAGAGCTGGAATGCTGTAGAAGTATGTTAACAAATGGGCCAAAGACTGCTCAATATTTCCTTCCCAATCCTTGTTTCATCTCTTTCCTTACATACACACACTCTTACATTTACTCTTACAAGCACTACACTACTTCACATTTTGGGAGACCAGTTGGAAGGTTAGAGCTTGTTGTAGTTGGAGTGGTGCCCTGCTGGCAGAGGTCCTGGGAGGAGGGAAATCCCTCTACGGTTAGTAGATTTCACACCCAAGTGGCATCGAATATTGTGTTCCATTGAGGAGGGTCACCAACACCTCCTGTGATGAATGCTGCTGTACGCTTATGGTTTTAATGACCATAGTGGACCCACCCAGGGACAAAATAATCAAGCAATGAATCCAGTCTCTTTACTCCGTTTTGCAAGTTATTAATAAAAGATCATAAATCATTTCAATATTAATGATAATCATTAATTATTGAACAAATTAACTCCTTTGATTATGAAAGTATTTTGGTGAGATGAATTGTAGTGAATTAATAAAGAAATTTATAGCATGCCAATGTTTTTCATGATATCTATGTGACCTTCTACCAGATCTTTTATTGGTTTTGAATTCTTTGCCCCTTGACAATATTGAACTTGTGATGAAATACCTATACTGTGTAATGAAGGTCCAATGATTTTCTTTTCTAGGTATAATTGCTGCCTGTTGGGCTACACTTTTGCATTTTGGTTTGGAAGGTTACGTCAATGCTACAAAGAAGATTGTGGAAACTACAAAATATATCGAGAAAGGGTTGAGTATCTTTTCTCTCTCTCTGCGATAATTCACAGGCTGGGAATTACAGGATTTTATAAAGGCTACTTAATTTGTTTTCATTTTTAAACATTTTTGATTGTTTTCAACTAACAGATATTTTCATTAGTAGCAAGCTTGTCTTACAAAAATTGGTCTGCAGACGTGGGTGAGTGTGAGCATGTAAACATGCCTTCTTGTATGTGTTCATGCATACATAAGTTTGTGCAATCCTAATCAAACTGTGCATTTGTATGTTTGACTTACCAGATTTAGATTTGCCTGAAACACCCGAGACCTGATTCCTGAGATCGTTTTAAATACCATACTATCGTTAACATGCACAATTATATATTCTGCACCATAAAAATTCATTAAGTCAATACCTATCATTGTCCCAAAAATGAAACAGAGGGTAAAAAAAAAATGAAAAGGTATCAAATATGTAATATCAAAATAGACTCTTATTTATAGAACATATATAAACAAAATAAATTTATGCAATTTGAAATTACATTAATAAAATATGTATTAAAACAATTTTGAACATAGATATTGCTTTTATTAATGAATTAATTTTTAAGAGTACATTTTTATGTTCTGTGCAGTGATAGCCATCGTCCAAACGTGGTATTTCAATAACCAACAAACAATTACTGTAGCAAGGTCATCGTAGTATTACAAATCCGTGACATTAAGTATCTCTCATAAATTATTTTGATTTGAGAAACATGTCATCACTGATACTCTCCACACCTAAAGATAATATTCGCATGCATAATATTCGTAATATTGCATAATATTCGTAATATGCACTCTTGTCCCAATGTAGATGCAATGCAGTGGAGACAAATCCAAATCTCACAACAACTTCTGAATAATAGTTGCTAAGACTGCTTTCAATTGGGGTATCACTTTGTTATTCTGTCTAGAAATATATCAAAATTATAAATAATATGGAATGAAATAAAATCCTGGACTACAACTTCCCAAAGTGATTGTTTATTGTACTAATTTTAAGTGTAAAAAGTAAAGAAATTGCTGTGTTTCATCTTACATTTTATGTTACAGGTTGCGGGAAATGAATGGAATTTTTGTTTTTGGGACTCCCGTAACATCTGTAATAGCAATTGGTTCAAATGACTTTCACATCTACAGACTTGCAGATGCTTTGAGTGAAAATGGTTGGAATTTAAATCCACTTCAGTTTCCATCGGGGTAAGCCATGATTGATACAAAAAAAAAGTTCTGTTGATTAATTCGTCATGTTAAAGAAGTAAATGCAATTGCCAAGAGCTTCTAAGATATTGAAATAATACTACACTTACCGCAATTTAAAATTGAAGACGTGTTATTTTGATAAAATCATAAATAAATTGTCGAAAAATTAAAAAACATTTATGCAATACTTCAGCAAAATTCTTATAACTTATAATTATTTTGATATATGAAAATAGAACTAGAGTACCAGATAATATTTGAATTTCTATGAACATATTCAGTAAAACTGGACTTATGCGTTGTTCAGGGAACTGAAAGGGAAAAAATGTTTAAGTGAGAAAAATGCATTACTAAAATTGTATATTATTTGCCAAACAAATAGTATTTTTACATTGCAAGCTCCAATCTTGGACCTGCTCACAGGAACTGCCGCCAGGCTCTGGTATTGTCATTTATTTGATTTTATTTATTTAGTCAAAGAACAGTAAAAACTATGTGACATGGTGGGAAAAGTACCATCTGGGCATGTTCTTTTCAGCACCAGAACATCTTCCATACACTGTGGTTTCTCTGATCTACACCAGGCGAATGCCGGAGCAGTACTGTAACAAACGGGCAACGGACCACGTGCAATCTTTCTTCCTTTTCCTATCCACATCCCCTACACACACTTACCCTAACACGCACTACGCAAGCACACATGCCAGGAGACCAGTCGAGAGCTTAGAGCTTGTCTCGGCTGGGGCACTACCCTGCTAATGGGAGATACCTAGTTGTGGAAAGTCTAAAAGACTCATGGCCCATGGTCCCGCACATGAAACAGTGCCTCTTATTTTTTGCTTTTTTTCTTTCTTTTTCTGAATGGTCCTGCCATCTTTCGTGGGTCTTTTTTGTGTAAACTTTTCTTTCCCTTCAAAATTTCTCTTCAACTTTTCTTTTATCCAGTTGTACACTTTGAATTTTCCCTAAGTTGTCTGATCGTCTGGGCTTTATAAATCAGCACTTTGTTGATCTCTTAATCTGGCACTACTCCTACAATGTACTGGATGAGTGTACTCTCCCCAACGTGATGAGTGATTTCTTCCATGGCACGGGTGTGTTGCCTGCTCGACTCAGTGGACTTCTGTTTCCTCTTCCAGAGCTCACTGTGGGCTACTGCGCTGATCACTTTCACCTTGAACTCTTGACACAGCCTACTCTTCAACTCTGTTCATGAAGTGATGCCGGACTCGAGGGACACAAATCTTTTTGCAGAGCCGCGAAGCATCCACTTACCATAAATCAGTTTTTTTAACTCATCTCAGTGCAGAAGTGCACTTATATCCTCAAACTCTTGTATCCACTTTGAGATGGGGAACATGCCGTCACCCGAAAAGAGAGTGAGCCTGCTTTCTATGGCCTCTATTGTGAAGTTGATGGAGAAGTAGCACTAGTATCTCTTTGTTGCAGTCACTGCGGTCGTGGCATTCAACCTTCTGACCTGCACGTCCCCTTCTCATCCCAAAACATCACTGCTCCTTTTGCATGGTCATCTGATGCTTCTGGCGTCTTCCATCTCACAGAGAGGTTCTCTGTCGTTCTTTTCTGGTGCCTGTGTGACAAACCCCTTTCCTGCCCCACTACACCCCTGCTCCAACCGTCTTGGTCATCAGAAGTCACTGTACATGTGGTACATGTCCTGCAGTAGTTCTTCTTGCTGCTTTTGTTAATTTTTGGCTATTTCCATCGCTGTTGTTGTCATCACCGTCTCCACTCACGTACAATAGCACTGTTACCCCTGTTAACCTCCGCCGTGCATAGCCTGTCTACTAAAGTCACTGAAATATGAAGTTCAGCGAGTCTTTTCCACAGCTCGGTTACTGTTAATTTACTTAACCTGGTTCGCATGCATTGTTCTACATCTTTCTGTTGGACCATATTCTTATAATCGCTACTTTGTAAGCGCGTAACCGAGTCCTTTACATCTTAGATGAGTGCGACAGTAATCAAGTTTCACCCTCACTTGTTTCTTAGTGTCTTACGTGTATATGCAAGTTCCACTCTTCACGCTGGCTTCGGTAGTTGTGCTACTAGTCATGAGTTTGCAGTACATGTATTTTCACAATTAAAAACTGTGATCCCGGACGCGCCCCCAAGATCATAGAAGTAAATGGGATGCAGTTCTGAAAGCACTTGCTTCTAGTGTTTTAAAAAATCTCCTGTGATTACCACAATACAGGCAGATACAGTCCATGCTTTTTCACACACACAACGCACACCTCTATGTCCTCGCCAGAATTTTCCTATATACTATTTGCACCTAACCCTAAACTAACCTGATTATGAAGTATTTGAATTTGAAATTGAAATTTCTATCTTGCTCCTATTGCTCAAATTTTACAACTTAATAGGAAATTCAGGATATCATCTTTCTCTTCAAAGTAACATACCTTTTCGTAATGTCCATTCCTTCTTCCATCTCAGTGTGTCACAGTCACTCTGTCCGTCTGTTTATCGGTCCCTGTTTGCCTACTCGCTTGCTAAATCAGAAGACTAGAATGCTATTAGAGCATGAGCACATTAGTCTTTCCTTATCTTCTCATATTTTCTTGTATTGTTCATAGGCTGCTTTTGGTTCAAACAATTCACTTACAAAACTACAAGATTGAACTGAATCGTTTGTTATCGGGGGGGGGGGAATTGGAATTTTTGCAGTTTTGTAGTATATTTTTGTTCCATTTAAAAGGTTGTAGTAGGCCTAATGGATGTACAGCAGTTAGTGTAATCAAAGTTGATTTTATTATTTGTCAAATATGTTTTATTGCTTTTTTAAATAAACAATTTTTAATATGAAATCAGTATCAATATGTATAATAATATGAACAGAAACTTAATTTCTTCTTGACAGAATTCACTTGTGTGTAACATACATGCACACAGCAGAAGGCGTTGCCGATAGATTTTTATCTGATGTGAAAAAATTCGTGGATGTAATAATGAAGAATCCGAAAAAAGATGTGGAAGGAAAGGTAAAATCACAATTAATTAAAGAAATTAAACAATGCAAATTGTTATATTTTGTTTTGTGCTCATATTATGTTTTATTTACAGTTTGCCATGTATGGAATGTCTCACAGTATTCCTGATCGGTCAATTGTTGGAGATTTTACTCGTTTCTTTTTAGATTCAATTTATTACACTCCCAGCCAAGAAAAAGCAAATGGCTCCAAAGCTCTTGTATAAAGAAAATGAAGGACTAGTGGATATTTAATGTAATATTTGTGTGATGGGACCAGTTATTTACAATATACTGATTCATTATTATTGAATATTCATGATATGCAGTAAGAATTGTGCTATGAAATGTAAATATAGGCAAAGTTATGATCAAAACAATGTTATTATTTTACTGTAACAGTGTGTTGTTATGTTGAGAGCTGGAGTTTCCTGGGATCATATTACAAAATAATATACATATTATAGTATATATTTTTACACAGTATTATTTTTATGCTGCAATTTTGCACATAATTGTCCAGTATATTTTGCAGTTGGAGAATACATACATGAAGAGCATATAATACATTGAATTTTTGACTTTTTGTGAGTTCTTAACTTTAAGACATATTTTTCTAAGTATATAGGAGCATGCTTAATGAATTTACAGGCTGTGAATATTAATGTACATCTATTTTTAATAAGTATCCTACTTGAACCATTTTCCTTCAATTATCTACTAATAATAATGAAATGTTAATGATTTGTACTATCTTTTTTTTCTCTATTAAGTGAGAAAGATTTACATTTAGATATTTTCATTTCCAGTAACTATTGAATTCTGAATTTCTCGTTGAATGCAAAAAAATTCTTTCTTTTCTGTAGTGCTTATATTGAGTCCTATGCTCTGCCCTCTAAACAGTGTACGTAGTCTTCAGATTCAGAACATTTTGAATGAAAATAATTTGAGCAACAAAACCTCAGTGCCAGAGCTTACTCCTTTTTACTTCTGTACAGAATCATCAAAAGCAATGCTAACTAACTGCAATTCTGGAATTCTTTTGATATCTGTTTATTCTTTACAGTACCATTTTTTAAACAAAAATGTTGTACAAATTGTGGAAATTGTTAGTTATATTCTCTTCTGCATTACTCATTAAAAATCTAAATTGTCTCATCTGCTAAAAAATTGAATAAACCCATCAGTTATATGAAACTTGAATTGGCTTTTACAACTATTAATCTGTTGATGCTATTTGTCCATAGCACTACCCGCTTCCCAACAAAAAATCTCTTAATGCCTAGTTAAAGTACTGATTTAATATATTTTGAGAAGATACAAGGAAGAAACTTTAGTGACTTGCAGACTGGTGTGCATTCTTGTTTTCCAAATATAGTATGTAAATTGTGCTTAGTATTTAATATCTTGTTTGCCTTTATTATTTGAAAATTCTCCTTTTCGAGTCAAAATGGGCCATTTTCCTTTAGTCTTGAGTGTAAAGTACTGGAATATTTGATATCATTATTATTATTATTATTATTATTATTATTATTATTATTATTATTATTATTATTATTATTTATTACTGTAAAAACAACAGTTGTCCTCTTGTAGACAATGAGATAATGTTGCAATATATTGGAAAGAATCATTTGGAGGTTATCAGTCCTCTCTGGGCTTTAAGTCACTGCTGTTGTATTTGCTATGTTATTGTGGCACGCAATCAACTATACTTAGCATTCATAATACATGTATTTCCTGAAAAGATTTGTGTGTAGGAATATATTCACAGACAAAAGAAAGACTAAAATTGTCAATGTAGTTCACCTGTCTTACATTCTCTCTCTCTCTCCAGAATCTAGAAAGAATTTCAGATTTTCATATTTGTTTTTTTACTTTGTCCTTTATCTAAAGCATCTTATTTTATTACTTTAAGTATTATGTTTCTTAGTACTCATTGTGAATTCAAATAATCAAGCATGATAAGTGTTGTGCTAGTCTGGTTCTGTATTGAATTGGATTTTTACTTTTTTTTTTTTTAATTTGAAGTAGATGTTAGGTGGTCTGGATGTCAGGGACTACGAGAGTGAGAACCAATTCAGCACTTGACACTGGAGGGTTGTGGCTTCATATCACATCATGATCGTGTAATTTATCCCTTTTGTGTATTGTGTTGTAGCACATCATGAACCAATAGCCAAAGATTCTGTAGGTGTCAGCTCCAAGGAATGTTGGGGAATGTCAAATACAAATATGAAAGTAAAAAAAAAAAAAAGGTGTAGTTTACCTCATAATTAATGTGTTTGTGAATGGTGCTGTAAACTTCTGTGGCCTTCAGTGTGATAATTATTAGTAAAATGTGATTATTAATAAAAAAGGATTATAATGTTTTTAATATCTTTTAAAGCAATCTGTATGCGAATTATATCATCAATCTATTTTTGTATACTATTTCAATTTACTTTGGCAAATTTTGATAAATGATATTTGACAGATAAAGTTTACAATTTATTTCAATGAAGTTATATGCAATGATTATTCAATGTACAGAAATTTTAAATGTACAGGAGTGATGGGGATGATGCCCATACAATATCGAGTAACGGAGAATGATTTTCATTAGATTGTGAACACTACCAGAAAGAAATCAAAATATGATATTCTAATAACAACTTCAAGATAATAATCATTTTTCTGAAGTGTAAGTTAAAATGCAGTTTAAATCTATAAAGAAATGAAGTAAATGTATTTTACTAGGTTTGCAAATTTGAAAATTAGGGCAAATTTGAAAGGAAGATTTATGATAATTTGTTCCTTATTTCCTCTAAAACCATATTGATTCTCTGTTTAGTGTTGTTGATTGATATCAACAGGAATTTCAGTTAAAGCTATTTTTGTTTGATATTTTTTCTCTGAAGCTTAAAAAAAAATATTATCTTAAAAATAATGTAAGTTCCATGTATTTCATTAAAGGTGCAGAAATGCAGGTTTTGCCAGGAGTTAATATGGATATTTTAACATGGTTATTGTTTATTATTTCAAAGTGAAAATGCTCTTATTATTTGTTGATTTCATAGTTTGAATATCAAGGTTCCCTAAAGCTTCATTCTAAAAGTACTATCCTTTTTAAGTCTTTCATATAAAGAATACTTACTTAAAAATACATGACAAAATGACCAATGAAAATACATATTTTAGATTATTTTCCTTTTTAACTTGTTGATGGGTACATTTAAAATATATAAAAATACATTTGTTATTCATCATGTGTGTATTATCCATAATAAATAAATTTCCCCTTTATATAAGGTTATTAGAAATGTGCGTAGTTTAATTATAAATTTATATATTTACAGGTATATATTCTATTCTTTTGCTAACCTAAAAAAAATATTATCGAAATGCAGTTTCTTGGTCTGTTGTGTAATGTGATATATTCTAAAGAAATATTTTGTATAATTTCAAATAATTACTTCTGATAATAGTTTATTGTAGTCTTATAAAATTGCTGGTGAAAGCTTGAAAATACTTGCTTTGCCGTTTTCTGAATTTTTATTTATTAATTTGCTATTTTTAAAGTTGAAGTTCCAGAGCTGTTTTTCATTGTCATTTTCATGTGGCATCAATTGGTATTTGAGATCATGTAGGACTGTAATAGATTTTGTTACTTTTCAAGAGAGCATTATGAAAATATAATTTTTTAGTGTGGTAAAACTTTCAGCAAAACTGCATTGCTGTTTCCTTTGCAATTATTTTTAAATCAGAGAGAGCTTGTTCAGTCGTACTTTGGCTAATAAACATCAAAATTAATTGTCAAATACAAATTTTGCAAACAAAAGCCAAAGACAGAATTTTCATTTTCTTATGTTCAAACGTCTATTTGCAAACAATTAATTTGTGCCTTTTAATCAATCAGTCCCTGAGATTTTATTTTTCTGCTTGACCATTCTTATCTCTCAGTGGTTTTGTTTTTGTATTTGTGATGTAATGCACCAGGTATTATAAATATATTGTATTTATTAGTGTAAATAAATTTACTTTCTCTGACTGATGTAATAATTTTCTTACTTGGTGTAAATTTGCTACTACAGAATTTAATAGTTTGAGGTCAAATGATTACTGAAGATTTCAGACAAAATGAAACACCAGAATTACACAAGTTTATTCTTAGGCCACAAAAGATCCGAAGAGACAACAAGTATGTATAGTGAGGTTGAAGATGAGCTCCATTGGACTATAGAGGGGAAAAGAAATCTGATGATGAAAGCCCTAACATCAAAAATAACTTCCATCATGAAAAAATTTGGAAATATTAATTGTCAAATATACTTTTATTATTTAGCCCAGGGATTACCAACCTTTTTCTTTCATTGTTCTCTTTTGAACAAATTATTTTCTTTATTGACCCCTTATGTTTCTCTAAAGTATATATCATCCATAATCAACAGAGAAGTGCACATAAATGTCTAAAAGATAACAATTTTGTACACCAATATTCTCATAAATATACCTTATTTAACAGTAATAGAATACGCTTCGGCTTTTCAGTCGTTTTAGCTTCTAATCTTTGTTGAATTGCAATGGTTACAAATTCTTGAGTCCAGTGTGAAATGGAGAAAGTACTATCTTTCTAGAGTATCATTGTTAATGCTGAGTGATAATTTCTTGAATTTTCTAAACATCTTGATTCCTAATGGTGAACGTTGAATGCGAAAGGAGAGGACGAAATTTGTAATTTCTTTTCACACATTTTGTTGTTTTATATCAGAAAAAATTAATTAACAAACAGTAATGAATATCCACAAACGAGGACAAAAAATAAATGTGAAAATTACAGAGGAATAACTATGCAGACTGCAGCATACAAGATGTGAGCAAACATACTAAAAAATAAATTATTTGAATACCATGAAGAAATAATAGGAGAGGAGCAATATGGATTTAGAAAGGGTAGAGGGACAGTTAATGCAATTTTAACAATTGACCAGATAATTAAAAGAAAAAAAAAATAACCTGAAAACATTCATATTGCTCATGATTATGAAAAGGCATATTACTGAATAAATTGAAGGTGCTAAGGGACATCCTTATGGAAGACAACTTTGAAGAACACACGATAAGAGCGGTTGTAAACCTATATGATAAATCAAATGTTAAAATACAATATGGAAAAGGAGGAACATCTGCAGCAATACCCTTAATGTGGGCCTCAGATAAGGTATGACATCAGAGGATGAACTGAAAATGGTAATATGTGGACTGAAGAATGTGGTTAAAAATATGGACTCAGAATATCTACAATGAAAACTAAAGCAATAGGGTTTAAAGGTAAGGACTATATAGGGACAAAAATTGTGATTGGCAACGAAATAATAAAACAAGTGTCAACCTTTACGTACTTAGGTAACAAAATCTCAATACAAGATAAGGATTTTGAATCAAAGTTGGCAAACTACAACAAAATCAATGGCTGTATTAAAAGACACTTCCAACACATGACCACAGAAACAAAAATTAGACTCCCTTGTCAAATCAACACTACTCTATGGCAGTGACTCATGGGTATTGAAGAAAAGAAATAGACAGAATATAAACAACCTAAAAGAGATACCAAGGACCAATATTAAAAGTGTCAAGGGAAGACAAAATAAGAAATAAATAAGGAAGAATCTAAAAACAAACAAACAACAACATTGAAGACTGAGTAAAGTATGAAAAGAAATGGCAAGATCATATAAAAAAGATGAAACCAACCAGACTACTAAAACAGGTGCTAAAGAATAGCCCGAGAGGTGAAAGAGGCCAACCAAAAAAGAAATGGGAAGACAAGGAACACTTTGGCAGTGACAAGGAGGCTACTGGAAGAATAGGAACAGACCATTTTCTTATACCTATACAGTTCATGATGATAATGATGAGTTAATTAGGTTCATTAACAATTTTTTGATACTCAATTGGATTCTGATTATCCTGATCAGGTGCCAGTTCATATTTGGTTATTGACTTTTAATTAACCCCTTTTTAATTACTTTTATGCTCTTGACATAAGATATTTTCTTTAATTTTAAAATTAAAGAAGCATAAACAGTTTGTTACAAACAATATTGACGCTAAATTCGATTAGACATCTGGATACTGCATAGACAAAGCGTAGGTATGCGTTGTGTCTATATACGGTTTCTTTCTTTATACAAGGACAGTAATTTAAAATGGACTTATGCTATTGCTTTATTGATGCTTTCACAAATGTTGAATTTTTGTGTCATAATTAATAGTGTTTTTAATGTTGGAATATAAGATAAAAGTTTTATCATATTTTTTTGGTATATATGATAAAAGTTTTATCATATATTCCAAAATCTTGTAATTACAATTTCTATATCCAAATAACTTTTCCTTAATTTATATTGCTGCAGGAAAAGCAAGTGCATGTTAAACCATAGTATTGCATAAATGTTTCACAAGAAAGTATTAAGTAACTGCCAATTATTTTGAGCAAAAGCGAACTTTCTCAAACAAGTATTTATCATTCTTATTGTACATTTGCAAAGTTTCATTACATACACTTTTTCTTATTTGACAACGGTTTATATATAATTAGCTTTCCAGTAACTGAAAGTATAAGGTGTAAAAAAGCCACATTTTGAATATTAGCAATGCATTTTTATTGGGTAATTCAAATTCCGCGGGGAAATATGTTGGGCGCTCTCTATAGATAGCGCTCAAGTCGATCACCTGTGCGGCACTTTCCCTTTGCTGTCCCCTCCAACACTCCCTGGTTCTGTCAATGGGGGCTTACTGAGGCTAGAAGCTAAAAGCTGGTAGCGGACGTGGTTAGTGGCAGATCAAGCAAGATCTGTAGCTGCTCAACATCGCCGTCTCCGTTTGGAAGTCGAGTTTTGACAAAAGACGTGGCAATAGAATTACATCATGTGCGGTAAGTAAAAAATATCTGTAATATAACATTATAACTAAATTGTACTTTAACCTAATTTGCTAAAAATCTAATTTTACCATAATTTTGTTTTATTATGCTTAATGGCAGTTAGAACACAATATGTATTTGAGGTGATTATTTACAGTTGTTTTAGTTAAGGAACTTGTCTCTTCGTTTCAGTTTTTCTTTCAATAGTGTTGTGGCATTTATTCTCATATGTTCTAAGAAGTTGTTCTCGTACTGTAGGCTAATAATTTTCACGCATATTTTGGAAATGTCATATTAATTGTTATCGAACTTTTAAAAAAATGTATTGACTAGATAATTATTCAGTTGTCATATTTTCCTCATGTATTGACAATAAGCAGACATGCTATACAATTTTCAGATTTTCTGTCAGTTAACAATAGGCATGCACACATGAAGTCTATGCCCCCATCTCCCACCCCGGAAATTTCGAAAAGGGGCTCTGTAGCCCTAAGGAATAAAATATTTTATTTCCATAAATATGATCATTTTCTTATTTTATACTTTTTATGATGATTCCTTGGGGAAATAATGCATAATTGAGAATAAAAGCTCTCCAAAACATCTGACAACCTGTAAATGGTTCACCATATCAATTGTATTTGCTAAATGTATCACTGTTTTTTTTATTTTAATTCTCCTTGTATGCTTTATTTTTGTAAATTAAAAAAATCTTAGGAAAGGGGACCCAGAGGGTTGTAGAAATGTAGTTGGCTCCCCTCTTGTTTTAGGGTGCCCATGCATATGAAATCAACATAACTATAGATTTGTAATCCATTTCCGTTTCACTTGTAATTTAATTCTTTCAGTTTATTGCCTTGAAATATCTGCATGTAAGAGCTGTCATTGTCATTGGCGGCATGTTGTGTTTTGTCAATCACAAGAGAGTACTTCCTCTGCAATCAACTTGATGTCAAATTGTAGAAAAGTCGAAGATCTCTATGATATATGATTAAGGATATATACATTGTGGAAATTTTATCAGTTCAACTCTACGTGTCGCGTATTTTATTCCCGCCCGTAGTTGACACTTCTCCGGCAAATGTCTTTTCAAGTCCGTGTTTTTCGTTGTGACTGTTTCATTCGGTTATTGATAAAGTTACGCCATCCTAATTGAGCGGTGTGATTTTATTATTGTAGAAATTTTGCCCACTTGATCAAAATATATAAAATTAGTTCATCTTGTAGTGTGACTTGGTATTTCCATCGAGTTATCCGTCATCCCGTTCGACAAATCCGACATCTCGTTTTGAGATAACCTCTATAATTCTAATTAAACTGTAAGAGAAGAAACAATTTTGTCGATCGAATGAATTCAGTTGACTGCGGAAGAAATCTCCAAGAATACGGACTCTCTCATTGCTTCGTTCAGACGGTTTGATACATCATTGAAATGACTGATTTACTTATCGCGAGAATTAGTAATACATGCCCAGTAGACTGAATTGTACAGTATGTGTACTGTCACTCGTTTCTTCCTCTTCCTTCTCGTGAGTTGGTCCATTGGCCTCCATTTTTACTGCACTTTCACTCAGCGGTGACTACTCCTTCACGAGAATGTCATCGGCGCTTGCTTGAAGGCAGACTGCGGAAGGGCTTCTTTCGTTGATGTTTATTTGTCCTTTGAGATTTAGATTTATTTAGTAAAAAAAAAGTAAAAACTGTACGTGACGAATGGGGGAGAAGATTATCTGCACTCTGTTTTCTTGAGTTCCAGAGTCCCTTCCCATCATTTTAACTATAAATAGTTAAAAGACGAGTAAAAGTTTAACATAAATAAAAATAAATTTTTAAAATCGCTAGATTAGCAATATTTGAAAAAAAATGAAAGTTTCGTTTCCGTATTATAGAAAACTTACTTGCATCGGTTAACGAATTGCAAGTATGATTTTTCTGCATGCTAACAAAGTAGTAACTCGCCCTTACCTCTTTTCCTACCATTACAAGCAAAAGGAGAGTTCAACAAAACGTGCGCATATTGAAGCTACATTTATTGAGCAAATTGCATTTCATTTTACATCTGCTGAGATTAGTGTATGATACAATTTATCCGCATATTTGTAAGAAAAAATGTGACTCATGTTGAAACGTACAAAATCTTCGTAAAATATTATTCTTACTTTTCCTCATGACCGATTCCTCAACCGTTTTGTGTGAAATCTGAAAGAGCACTGTGCTTTTCAATGGTGACTTGTAAGGCGTATGAGTTGTGAAGAATTTTCTCCCTAATCGATAATCCTTATTTTTCTAAAGCATCTCTAGAGTAATTTAGAATCTGGTAGTGATGTGTAATCACTTGTCTGCGTACTCTTGTTATACGTACCAGTGGAACATAAGGGTATTCCTTTAAATAGTATTTTGGCGTGACATTTCATTTGTGTCGAGACACAATTACGTCATCAGTACTGTGCTCGGTGAACATAATACAATTATATCTTTGTACTGTCAAGAAGGGCGAAAGCAGCTTTCTCTGTGAAGTTCAAAAGTATTCTTGTATTTTTAGTAAGGTGTAATGAAATTTTATCATAATGGTTGAGAGTTGATGGTACGATTTTTACTTATTTCTTAATTAACTGTCTAACTGTTCCTCTAAAATATTATTAATCTCAATGAACATTTTTATGTCACGGAGAAAAAGCGGGATTGCCCGCAAAGTTGCACTGACACTTTTCACTGCAGGCGTTCATTATTTTGACGCTTTTTAAAAAATACTTCGAACTTTTCCCGTAGACCTATTTCATGTCTTTCATTTCCAATACTTGTCAAATTTTTAATCCACGCGTCAAAGATTTGGTACTCGCCTTTTTAATACGAAATAAATATTTTTTCGTTGTTAATTTTTTTTAGTTAAATTGAAAATACTCAAAAGAGATCCACCAAAATTCTACCGAACACTTTCAATATAGTGTTTCAGTATTATGCCTAGAAGTGAAGAATGCCCGGTACAAATAAGTTTTCTTTTTTCCATATTTTCATTTTAGAACAAAGAAAATACCGTGTTATTTATGTAAGTTCTGTTATGCAACTGCTGTTGTTACTAGGCTTTGCCCGATACTAAATTGGAGAGCTGCGAGAAATCGCGAAGTAAAAGCTAGCCGAAACTTATCACGCATCGTTGGAACAAAAAGAAATTTAGCTACGGAAGCGTATTCCACATTCCTGACGCGCTATTGACAAACGTAGTGCGAACCCATCGTCCGTGCACAGCGTGCTTTTGAAAATCATATCCAAATTTTACTCCGGTAAAAAGAACTACTCGTGTTTCCTTTCGCCTTTTTTTAAAAAAAGTATTTGTTTTTAGGTGTACAATCTCTTTCGCAACGAGTTTGAATATATAGGATACAGATTTAATGAGTTGAGTTATATTTTGAATACATTACTGCTTTATGATTATTTCGAGGAGTTATCTGAGCGATGGGTTTAGGGTGGGTCAAAAAATTGTCTGGCTAGTTTCCTGCGGATGCGTGTTCTGTTGGTCTTTTGTTTCCCTAATCGGAAATGGATTGAAGGAATTTTGTGGTAAAACGTATGGGCGGATTGTTTATTGTTGGTGGTAATGGGGGGTATGCCGAGCACGTGATGAAGATCGTTGGGCATGAATCAAGGTGCTTTGGTTTCTTAAGAAACGATTCTGAAACGTCTCAAGTCTAAGAATGTGAGATCTGGCTGCTGAGCCCCAAATAGGACTTGCGTGTGCTAGCATTGGTCTGATTATAGCTTTGTAAAGAGGAGTACCGGTTTGAATTTGGAGGGAAGATCGACTTAGTATTGGACAGAGCTGGTGAGTTCTTTGCGTGGCTAGGGCAAGTCTGTGTTGGATGTGGGATTTCCAGGTTAGTTTCGACCTTTTAACCACATTTTTGCTTTCCCTATACGCTTCCCTCTTCTCGTATGCTGTGGATTTACTCGCGCTTCGAAACGAACCTCGTACGCGTACGTCATTATTTATTTATTTAGTCAAAAGCAGTCAAGACTGTATGTGACGTATGGGGGAGAAAATTATCTGCGCACGTTTTCTAGAATCTCTTCCCATCATTTTAATTATAAAGAGTTGAAAGATGAGTAACAGTTAAAGATAAATAAATCAAAATAAAATTTAAAAATGCGTGAGTAGCAACATTTGAAAAACTAGACATTTTCGTTCCCAAGTTATAGAAAACTTATTTGCAACGGAAAACAAAATGCAAATTTGATTTTTCTGCATTGCTAACAAAATTGTAACTTGCCTTTACCTCTACTCCTCCACTACAAGCAAAAGGAGTTAATTAAGTGGAGAATTTCGTCTCCTGAGAACATACGTTTTAGTTTCTACCACAGATTTCATCTTCTAACCGTGGATAATAATATTATTCTCCGGAAGACAAAATTTGTTTTATAATTCTTATTAAGACGCAGGAAAACTTCATAAAAAAATCGTGTAGCTACAGGTTGACGCGTCCTTTAATTGATGGTTCTTGATTTCTGAAAATTGTTCTTATTATCGTAATTCTGTGGAAAGATTAGTGAATGGCCATCAGAATATTGACAGATGTCAGAAAATGTGACATGTGCATAACAACTTCAGTTATCTGGAAAAGTTATTCGATCGTAGTTCAAATCATTCCATTTTATCTTCCCAAGATTTGATGCGCTGGGACGATTCAAGCCTTACAACTTTGAGCTATTTTTTGGAGATTTGCGTGCAACGGTTCGATGTGGCAATCGTTGGCATTCATCAGTGCCAACTGCCTCCAAGTCTCGAGCAGACTTTAGGACCCGTGAGTAATCCCTCATTTCAGGGATTAGTGCATGTGTGGGAGTGCGAGTCCCTGATTACAAACCTTCCCTCTTCATACCAGGATGTAAGAGATGGATCACTCTTTGTCACTTCTGCCTACGTTCGTATGTCATCTGATAAGAGGGTTCTTTTATTCTGTCACACCACATCCGATTATCAGAGATATTTTAGAGATGTTCAATTATCTTCTGTCTTC